CTATCTCAAATCTGTTAATATCTATCTATCTATCTATCTATCTCAAGTCTGTTAATATCTATCTATCTATCTATCTATCTATCTATCTATCTATCTATCTCTGTAATTTATAGGTATAACCGTCGTTTCAATGTGCCACACTTTTTAAGTTTTTTCTTTCAAGTACCTATTAAGTATTCAAGTACCTGTTTTGTTCTATTCTTTAATAGTTATACATTTGTTTGATTTATTAACCATAGCTTAGATGTGGCACATGGCCGAAAGTATGGAGCTCCCAGTGAGCAGTGTCATATCTATGAGAAGACCTTTTCTGTAATCTTTAAGTACAATGTTCAAGCTTTTTTCTGTCTATCCGTATGAAAGTTAAAATCATAAATTGTTCTTATGATTTGTTTCAGGATGAGTTTCAAACCATTTTCCGACGTGTTTTCCGTGGAAATACAGAGGTATCATCCAATGAATATACTGCTCAATCTGATCATATCGATCTTTGATGTCAAGTGATGTCAAGATCGCTCAACCAGACAATAAGCAGTCAAGAGTCTCATCATCTTGCCCATATATTTTATAAGGTTTTCCCATAATGCAGTTGTATATTTCTTCATGTACCATTTATTTTCCAGTATCTTTTTTTCTGGGACATGTTAAAATCGATAAACTAAAACCAGCACCAAAGCCTCTGATCGGAAGATTAACCCTTTGAGTCCTGCGGCCCTGGGCAATTTTAACCCTTTGAGACATGCGCCCCGGAGCAATTTTAACCATTTGAGCCCTTCCTCTCTGAGCAATTTTAATCCTTTGAATCCTTCGTCTCTGTGCAATTTTAAGCCTTTGAGCCCTGTGCCCCTGAGCAATTTTAACCCTTTAGACATGCGCCCCGGAGAAATTGTAACCCTTTTGACTGCTTTTAACCCTTTGAGCTCCCTGAATTTTTTAATTTTAACCCTTTGAGACATTTAACCCTTTGGTCCCGTCTTTGAGAAATTTTAACCCTTTGAGCCTTCTTCCCTGTCTCCTGAGCCCCTGAGCAATTTTAACCTTTGAGCCCCTATTTTAGACATGCGCCCCGGAGAAATTTTTAACCCTTTGAGTCCTTCGTCTTTGAGCAAGTTTAACCCTTTGAGCCCTGCTTGCCCCTGAGCAATTTTAAACCCTTAAATCCTGCGTCCCTGAGCCCTTTTTCTTCGACCCTTGAGCAATTTTAACCATTTGCCCTGAGCAATTTTAACCTTCCTTTGTCAATCCTGCCTTTGAGCCCTCTGCCCCCTGAGCAATTTTAACCCTTTTTAGTTTGAGACCTTGAGGAATTTTAACCCTTGAGACATACGCCCCGGAGAATTTTAACCTTTGTCCCCTGAGCAATTTTAACTCTTTGAGTTCTTCGTCCCTGAGCAATTTTGAAGCTTTGAGACTTGCGTCCCTGAGCAATTTTAACCCCTTAAATCCTGCGTCCCTGAGCAATTTTAAGCCTTTGAGTTCTTCGACCCTGAGCAATTTTAACCCTTTGAGCCCTGTGCCCCTGAGCAATTTTAACCCTTTTGAGTCCTGCGCCCCTGAGCAATTTTAACCCTTTGAGACATGCGCCCCCTTTTGAGTCCTGCGTCCCTGAGCAATTTTAACCCTTTTGAGTCCTGCGCCCCTGAGACTTTGAGTCCTGCGTCCCTCAGCAATTTTAACCCTTTGAGCCCTGCGCCCCTGAGCAATTTTAACCCTTTTGAGTCCTGTGCCCCTGAGCAATTTTAACCCTTTGAGACATGCGCCCCGGAGCAATTTTAACCCTTTTGAGTCCTGCGTCCCTGAGCAATTTTAACCCTTTGAGTTCTTCGTCCCTGAGCAATTTTGAAGCTTTGAGACTTGCGTCCCTGAGCAATTTTAACCCCTTAAATCCTGCGTCCCTGAGCAATTTTAATCCTTTGAGTCCTTCGTCCCTGAGCAATTTTAACCATTCTGCCTGAGCTCCTGAGTCAAAATCCGCAAATAATTAGTACGTAATATTTCACGATGGATATAAAAATAGTTACAAGTGTTTACCCACCGTTCGACCGGTGGCTGGGCATTAAGTCATTTTTCTCTACCACCGTTCAACTGGTGGTCGGGCATTACGCCATTTTCTTCTCTACCACCGGTAAAGCGGTGGTCAGGGCACAAAGGGTTAAATTTTTAAAGAACGTGAAACAACTTCTTAATTGCTACTGTCCTATGGGCACATAGCGAATCCCCCCCCCCACCAAAAAAATCGGCAAGGATAAGGAAAGTATAAAAATACATTTTTAGAGTAAAATTACCATCAATACATTTTATTATGTACAATCTATATATGTAAAAAGACATATGTCTACCTCGTAAGTATCAAAGTATGTATAAAATATCTGTTGTAGAAATCATAAAATTGCGTAAAAAAATATTTATATGCTGGCGTTAAAATAAACCATAGAGATGTTGCCGCTAAACAAAATCAACCAACTAAAAATTTGTTGTCTGATATTAGCCGATACAAGTA